CATCACACTGCAAATCAATTATCTCTAGCTGAATTTCGACCGGCAGATCAGAAGCTTTAACTGTGAAAGGTGAGCGAAAAACTGAAAATTCTGTCTCAAGTTCACCAAATACCTGAAAACGTTTCTCAAACTCCCGCAGTAGTCCTGCAATTTTGTCTTTGTACCGTTTCATGTCTGCATCAGGTCTGGTCACACACACTTCTCTCAGACAGGGGAAATGAGCAGGGTTGCCATTTGCCAGTTGCATCTCCCACAAAGTCAGCTTCAACTTAAATGCATGTATGTTGTCAGAAAACTGTGTGACAACTTTTTTGCGGCCTTGCAACATTTTGTTCAGATTGTTCAAGTGTTCAGTAATATCAACCAAGAATGCAAGGTCCCGTAGCCATTCCTGAGATTGTAATTCCAAAACCAGTTTTCCTTTTTTCTCCATGAACTGTCCGATTTCCTCTCGTAGATCAAAGAAATGCCTCAGCACAGCGCCTCGGCTTAACCATCTCACTTCAGTGTGGTATGGCAGGCTGTGGGTAATGTTGCTGTCGCTGAGAAGTTTGTCAAACTGACGACGGTTCAGACCTCTGGACCGGATGAAATTTACAGTGCGAACAACCACCTCCATGACGTGGTCCATTTTCAGCGACTTGCAACACAATGCCTCCTGGTGCAAAATACAGTGAAATGTCCAGAAACGATCTCCTCCATTCAGGGCTTGTACTTTGTCTTTGAACTTTGTCGCGACACCTGCTTTCTTTCCGACCATGGATGGCGTGCCGTCTGTAGCCAGGCTGACAGCGCGGGACCAGTCCACTCCAACTCTGTCCAATGCAGCAACGACAGAGCCGAAAATGTCCTCGGCTGTTGTGGTGTCCATCATTGGCACCAACTCAAGAAACTCTTCAGTAACAGTCAATGTCTCATCAACTCCTCGAATAAATATGGCCAGTTGGGCCACGTCTGTGATGTCAGTGCTCTCGTCAATTGCCACGGAAAATGCAATAAATGACTTGACTCTCTGTTTCAATTGACTGTCTAAATCTGCCGATAGTTCCGAAATCCTCTCTGCTATAGTATTCCTCGTCAGGCTAATATTGGCAAAAGCTTGTCACTTCTCGGGACATACAAGTTCAGCCACCTTCATCATGCATCGTTTAACAAAGTCACCGTCGGAATACGGCTTCGATGCTAATGCTATTTCGCTAGCAATTAGGTAGCTGGCTTTTACCGCTGCTTCACTGACTTCTCGGCTCCGGATGAAAGTTGACTGCTGTTTCCTCAGACCCGCCAGCAATTCGTTTATCTTTTCTCTTCTCAGTTGTCCTTGCAACCCGTCATATTTTTCGCTGTGATGAGTCTCGTAGTGGCGTCGAATATTATATTCCTTCTATACCGAAACTTGTTGCAAACACACCAAGCACAAAGGTTTTCCATTCATCTCTGTAAATAAATAGGACGTGGTCCATTTTTCTTTGAAAATTCTACACTCCTTATCTACTTTTCTCCGTTTGGATAACGACATTTTGGCTAATAAGTGTGTAGCGGAGAGGTAGAGACCAAGGTATTAACAACGTCGTAACAAGCAGCAGATGGCGCATTGATACCGTCTGCTGTTTTCAGTCTGTCTCAGTGATGCGGCTTGTCTTCTACTCTGATGGAATGAGTGCGCCCCTTAGTGGATAATCCATGAATTGCAGCGAATTAAAAATATTAATTCCATGTCTTTTATGCATTTTTTCCACTTTCAAATTATCCTGCGGGCCTGATCAAACCTCTTTGTGGGCCGGTTCCGGCCTGCGGGCCGTATGTTTTACACCCCTGTTGTAGAGGATAGATTAACAGATTCTTATAAAGGGTGTTAAAATAGTCAGGTTTTGAGCCTATAAAAACAAGGATAGTTGCTTTTTGATTCGCCTTAGATAGGAAAGGTTTAACTTTTGATAGAAGCCATAACTCAGGGTTTCTGTGGGTCATAAAAAAAATCATTAAAAGTCATTAAATTATTATTTGTTAAATGAAGGCCTTAATTGGCATTAGAGTTCATTAAATGTGATTATCATGGCATTTAAAATGCTTTATAAAAACAAAAATTTTTGTCAAATATATCAGATTGAACTGGTTCCACGTGGAACTGCTGCTAATTGATCCTAAAGCTATATGTTCGGAACAGAAGCTTGAGGCACAAAAAAGCTAGAGAATGGGAAAATGCTAATTTTAACAAAAGTGTTTTTATATATATATATATATATATATATATATATATATATAAAAATGCTGAATGTACTTTTATCTCTGACCTGAACCCCTTTTTATTAGTATTTGCATTTCCATTGACTATTATTTTGCACAAACAAGCAAATTGCTAAAAATGCTTTTTTCAATGGGAGGGTTTAGGAAGGGATGGGGTTTTTTGTTGCGTCCCACGAGTCACATGATCAACAAATGGATGTTACAACTAGAAAGCAGACAGGAAATGGTAGGATGAGGATGATGATGCACATTTTATTGTGAGTTATCAGGTGAACAAACTAGTGATTTTATCACTAGTTTTTATCAACAGTTTTGCACACATTCGTAATGGAAATGCAGCGACTTTAGCCTAGTTTCTCTCTCAGAATCTGGTTAACGGAGGATTAGATGGTTGTAGTCCATGACTGTGATTACATCTGTGTTTGTTGACTCCTGAATCTCTTGTTCCAGCTGCATCCCAAGTTTGAATCTCCCCTAACCACTTTAGCAAACATCAGGGGCGGAGCTAGATGGGGGGCCAGGTCCCTGTGGCCACCCCTACCTTTTTCCCCCCGTAACACAGATGGTGGCAGCAGTAATACTCTCAAGTGGAATATTCTAAACATTTACATTTTTCACCCATAAACAATTAATTGACAACAAAAACACAGTTGTTAATTATGCACATCAATTTACTAATATTGAAGATGATAAGTACAGAATTAATGCTCTTTTCAGAGCTAGATTTTGTTATATGGGGTAAAGAGAATTTTTTTTCATTTTACATACTCTAATAATCCCAGAGGGAAATTCCCTCTCTGCATTTAACCCCTCCCTTTGGGGAGCAGTGGGCTGCCATTGTGAGGCGCCCGGGGAGCAGTGTGAGGTTAAGGGTCTTGCTCAGGGACCCAGAGTGGCAGTCTGTGGGAGTGGGGGATATGACTCACAATCTCAGGATTCAAAGCCCTATGCCCTAACCACTAGGCCGCCCCTCCCCCATGTGAGAAAATGATGTGTCTCTGCAGATAGATAAATAACTCTATCAGCTGCATTTCTAAAAGCAAGATAAATAACTATTTATGTAAAAATGTATGGAATAATCAATTTATGTTGACATTAGAACTTGTAAATATCAATTTTATGCATAATGATTATTGATAAAAGTAGGTAAGTAATGACGATGGAAAAGATGTTCGCCCCAGAACTCAAACCTGAAAGAATTGTTTCCAACATACCTTTAATCCAGAAAGCACGGATGTTGAAATATATTCGTCTATTTGTTAAGAAAGGCTGCAGGAAAGTATATTTAGTCTTTATCTAGTGAATATAGATGTTGTGATCGTTAATTTTCCTGTTGGATTGGTGTAGATTGACCCCGAGGTTCTGGGGCCTATCCACTACCAGCCCCCCCTCAGCGTACATTGATTATTGCCTAGAAACCCTTATAAAAATGTTCTGGCTACGCCTCAGGCAAACATGGCCTTGCCTCTCACTCCTCTAACAACAGTCACCTCTGCTGCATGTGGGCCTTTTCTTACCGAACTTTGTCCTTCCACTCAACGTTCAATTGAAATATTTGGACACACATGAGCAGCAGTGACCTTCTTTACCGACTGGCTTTCTTCTGTATTAAAAGGGTGAAATAAATAAATATATATATATATATATATATATATATATATATATATATATATATATATATATATATATA